CACAATGAAGTTTTCAGTCAAAATTTGCCTACTGTTGGCCTGTTGGTAGTCTGTGGCCTTGCACGTACAGGTACAACATTACTCTACAATTTGCTTGCCTGCGATCCGAATTGTCGTGCACCATTGTACACTGATATAGCTGTTGAAGTTGTTCCACCGATTTCACGATCCGATTCGATCGGACAAAAACGACGAAATGATCTTTTAAAATCTCCTCAACAAGAGGATGAACAATTTTTCGATTTATTAATTCAAGTAGCTGCATCTCATGCACATTTTGATATTGAAGAAGACTATTATATTCTACGTCATGCTGGCTATTTTTCCCTGTTTACTCTTGTATCTGATGACGAAGATTGCACTCCTGAGAGTTGGATTCATAAGGAAATGAACAAAGATTATGCATATGATTATCATGAAATATTTCTACGTATGTTAAATACTGTTGATATGCCAAAATCGCATTGGCTATTAAAATCACCGATTCATATTTTTTCTTTTGATAAATTGCTTCAACATTATCCGAATGCATTATTAATCATGACACATCGACAGCTTGACGAGGTTCTACCGTCATCGTGTAGTTTGACATTGGCAACTGTTGGGTTGTATTTTGACGAAACGAACTCGATCAGTCGCGATAGAATACTAAAACGATGTTGTCAATTTGTCGATACAGAAATCGAATGTATGATGAAATTCCGAACATCAGACAATGGTGTACTTCGTCAATTGAAAAAACATATTTTCGATATTACTTATGACAATTTGATGAAAGATCCAATTGGTGTTGTCCATCAAATATATGACTATTTTGATCTTCATTGGTCGAATGAAATGGAAATGGCTATGCGTGATTGGCTTCTCAAAAATCCTCAAGGAAAACAAGGTCGTCACACTTACTCACTTGCTGAGTTTGGTCTCAATCGGGAAGATATCGAAATACGTTATGCTGACTATATTAATTTGTATCTGTCTTCGGATAATCAATCATCATCGACAGCTTCCATTTCATCATAACTGAAATAAAATCGTGTATTGACTTTGATTTCAATTGTCGATACAAATACTTTGATAAGTTAATTCTGGAGACTTGAGCATGTTGGTATGGGTGTTTCATTGACCCACATTTACACCCAAACTGACTATCGCTTGTTTGTGTCCTTAGAAATTCTAATTGTTTGCTGCTATAAGGGATGCTCAATTCGAGATATCACGAATTCGAACCAAACGTTATTTTTTTCTCGTACTTCTCCTAAATCAACAGGAAAATCTTGATTGGAGATATCATATGGATGCTAGTGTGAGTGCTTGATTAAGGGGGCCCCCCCCCCTCAAAAAA